TTTCATTGAAAACATAGTTCAAAAACAAAATACCTTGATCAAAAAGTTGAATGATATTGAAATGATATTTCTCAAACATATGTCGTGTTTATTTTTTGCTGAACCAGGCTTGCTACTTTATCTACACTGATAACTATACTCTGACACTGATGTTTGTACGTGTACCATGCATTTGATCACGATATATAAAGATAAGTCAGGTGGAAAATATTTTAGTTAAACTAATTAAAAACTCGATAAAACCATTCTGGTATTTTTCTTAATAGTTCTGATAGAGGCTACCGTTTTAAAAATAAGAAACTATTAAATGAACGCATTGACTTCTTGCATTTGGCTTTTTCGATTCACCTTTTACCAAAACCTGGTATAAAAGGAGAACAGAGGTTAATCCATAAAATTGACATTAAACCCAAAATAACCTCGATGTTATTACTTATAAACACAAGTTTTTACTTATATTTACGATGACAGTCGGAATCTTTCATTTGGCACACAGTTAAACTAGCTAATGTTAAATGCCGATGCAATAAACCTATTTAGTAAAGTTTATTAAATAGTATATTTTACATTTTTAACTTGGCGACGAGACTAAACTTGGTAACAAAATTAAAAATGCTTCACCTCAAATGTATTGACCCTGAATATTGTAACTTTATTGAAAATCAATATTTGATTATTTTCTCCATTATGACATCTTTATAATCAACTGGTTTAACAGCCTTCTCTTGCGTGTTTCGTACGGTATTTCCATATTCACCCCTACCCATGAAATTCTAACCTGCCAAACGAGCCAATTTACGTTGCACGCATCTGGTGAACTGTATCGCATACGTACATGTAAACTGTCACGCAAACATGTTATTGTAAAGTAGATCTATTACTGTGGAATGTGATCGGGGAGTTACAAATTATTTTGGTAAAATATCTGACCAATACCCTTCTACAATAGCGTCATTATTGAATATGTCGTTTTCCGAACTTTTGTAATACTGGAACAAAGATACGATTCAAACATCAACATGCTTTAAAATATGCTATCCCATGAAAAGGTCCATTTGCTAAACTTATGGAGGGGAGTGTATTTTTGTAGAAAAGTATGGTCATTTCGTGCACTAATCTAAAACACAAGAAGGAACAGAAATATCTCATTCAATTCCAGCTTATACTCGGACTACGACGAGACGTGTTGTTAATTCAGTGCAAATAATCTTTAGGGGGTTTCCTTATAAAAGGTAACACTTTTATTTAAATCGCTTAAATGCAAAATTGGAAAATAAGCTTTATTACAATGAATAAAGCCGTCTTTTTAAAGAACAGGATTACGAATTCCATTCCAGAGTCATGCTGAGAAATTGAAATTTGAGAATATTAAAGGTCTATACCGAGCACAGAAAAGCAAAACAAGATTATGAAAAGTTTGGTATAAACAATGTTACAAACTCGAATTTCAATAGTTTTTGACATGCCGTTTTCATCAAATATATGAGCAATTCGTGGCTACGGGTGTATATGCCTCAGCCAGTTGTTTAAATAACGAGACTTAAATTATAGGGTGTTATCTTTGAATACAGTCAAGGAGAATTCATTGAAACTAAATGATTCTTCAAGCACCTACGACTACTTTTCGGTTGTCCAGAACTTATCTTTTGATCAAAGTATCATTGCAAGTGAATAAAACAGATATAACACATAGCCTTGGCAGATCCCGGTTTCTTTAAAAAAGTGAAAAACGATGCTACACAATAAACTGTGAGTTAATCCAATTAGCAGATTCCATGCGTACTATCTTTAAGTGGATGTTGTACAGGGATTAAGGCAATATAGATAAGATATACGGCATCACTTTTAGAAAAGTAAGTTACTTGGTGTATTCCTTCTGCTATGTTCCCAATATATCAATCAATAGCTATGACTTGCATCAAGTTTAAATCCTTGAAGACTTATCTCCCAAAATGTACACCCCCATCAAAAGTTTGGCAACCATTTGATAGCATATTAAAGCCAGTTAATGAATCTCAATTTCTTTCCTTAATCACAATAAGCTCGGGATACATATCTTTCATAATGTTTTACCAAACAATAATGGATGGAATTTCATGCAATATTCTGATAAGATGAGGGTGTTTGGCTTACCAAACTTTTGGCGGGGATGTATACACCAGGACGGGGCATATATAAGGGTTATGTACTGGGAGGTTTTTGATCTAGGGTATATCCTGAGGTATATATTTATATCTCCCCTAGGGAATGTGATTAATGTTTTTCAGGACGTTTTCAAATATTTTAGATGTAGTTCGTCCTGTTATTCTGAGGCATAGAGTGGCAGTTGTGATTACTACGTTCTGAGTGAACATGACGCTCTCTTTTAAGGATCCATAATCAAATTGGAAATGATATCCTGGCCATGTACTTAGCTCGCCTTATCAGGGACACGTTTATTGTTGGTTTATCCAATGTGTTATGCACACACATGGAGATCATGACTAACTTTCTAAGCAAATATACACCCCCGCAATAAGTTTAGCATCCAGAATTTTTAATAGGACGAGAAATGAAAGTCTGTCAATGTCTGGATCTTAATTTTATTTCTTAATTGCAATAGCTCGACATTTTATGACAAAATCGATTAAATTAATTTCCCTAAATCGGTATATAAAAATAAGTGATTCAAAAGGATACTTGCCGGTTTCCAAACTTTTTGAGGGAGTGTACACCACCATTCATACAGCAAGTGTCATGAACGCGTGAACGTTTAAATATTTCATACAATCCCATGTTTTTATTGGGAAACGTCCGAGAAATCTGTTTCCAAATGGGAATAGGGGGAAGAGAGGTCGGTGACCCAGGTACATACTTTTTGGCAAGTCCTCTTTGTTGATATGACACCCAACCAAATCCCCAACATATTTTAGCGAGTGTCGAGTACTTCCATGCCCTTTTAAATCATTCATATACTCATCACATATTTTGTTTCACTCAATATCTTAGGACTAAGAAGAAATGAAATGTCATGGTTTATCAGAATGCTTTTCAATAGTTTAATTTCGATTCTTTAACCTTAAATCCCACTTGCGTAGCAACACAATAGAATTTGCTGTGGTTTATTTTTAAGAATGTATGGTTTTATCAAAAGGAAAGTGCATTATTTTTCTATTGTTTTTAAAGAATGTACACTTGGCAAGCTATCAAAAACAAGTGAGACATAAATGACCATTGACAGTTTTTGATAGTTTTCATTCCCTAAAAACAATATACAAAAATACATGTACCCTTCTCTTGTTACTGTGCATTCTTTAGAATAAAACAATTTATCAATTTTTGTTGCTATCTACATCATTGATCTTATCTTACTTACAAATATTCTGCTGCATTCAAATTCAATGTTCTGGACTGGACAGTCACCTGTAGTGCACTGACAGCTAGACTAATTATAGCCCACTCAGTCACTTACATCAACTCACACTCATGAGGTCAATGCAACCAACTCTTTTTGTTGTTACAATTAATTGGCTATATAACAACAAATTTTAACCAATAAGAGCCAGGGTCATTGTGAGCCTGGTTGCAGTTTGCAAAATTCACAGTTTGAATAGTCAACACAAAAGATATAAAAATTTCCAGATTAGATCATTGACCATTTACCTGCAATATACCATTTACCTGTAATAAGAATGTGTGTGATTTAAGTAAGATAAAGCATTCGAATTCGATTTGATAAGAAATAATAACCTCAGGCCTTCGGCCTTCGGTGTATTATTTCTTATAAAATCTCATTCTTATGCTTTATCCAGTACTGAAATAGCTTCATCAGTACGACTACCGTATAAAGGTTCTGGGCGTAATTAAGAATAACATTTCCCCAAAGCATTCAAAGCCAGAGCCCAATCTGATATCATCTTATCATCATGACATAAATACAAATGTTCATGTTGCTATCATAAAAATTGGTATTTTGATAAACTATGCAAAAGAATGGGGGGGGGGATGCTACCAAAGATCACTGCATTTCGTATACGTTATACATTCCATCGAGAAACCCCCCTCGACTAATTGATATCTCTTAGATTAAATTGAAATCACTATGTTTTAAGACTGTAACCAATGTTTTTGTTTGGCTGTGTCGATTCTGCTGGGAGTTGTAATGTAAACTGATCCGTTGTTTAGGAAATGTTTTTGGGTATTATTTTAGAAAAGGGGAAATGGTTTATACATGAGATACGCCAGTGGCACTTTTATATGCTTGCAATGAAGTAACGGAGAATGTAATGGGGGCATGCATGCAAATGCTATAACATGACTTTAAAATATGTGAAATTCCGAACATTATTTCGAATTTAAAGGTTTCGATGTGGAGCCCTTTATAATAGTTTTATATAGCTCTTCAAAAACAGTTTCGACAAAAGTTATTGCTTCTACTGTTCAAGCCCAATGGTAGAGTCAAGGCTGATTTGGAACTAGAGTTTATTTGTATGGTTTACTATGTCACATTCAATCAACTAACACAAAAACACATTTGAAGCATGAGTGACATTATTTTTTATTTTGTATTGAACTGACGCTTATTCTCATTAACTCATCTGAATTTAAGAAGTGTTTTTTCTTACTTTCCATTTTTCTATATTACCCTTTTAACACCCGTTAAATGACTGCAATTAACAATATACCATACTGACACTGAAAATACCTTAATCAACGCTGGATATAGTCCACCAACTAGACCATATTAACACGGAATAGACCATAATTAATTACGCTGAATACACCCTAATGAACGCCGAATGCACCATAATTTAGCACAACGTACACCATACTTAATTAATGCTTAATCAGTGAATATACCATACTAGAACTTAACCATTTCAATGCAGACTTGTTGACCATAATTAAGACCAATAATTGCACCATAGTTTTACCTACACTATACTAAAAACTGACTAGAATCTCTATTTCCCTGCCAAGTCCTGCCAAATGCACCAAACTTATTCTAATGAGATACTTACCTTCTAATTCAATATCATCAGGATCTGTCATTTTGGTCTTTTGCTTTTGGACTAACTCGCGTACGTTCACACCTTCAACAGCGTCGTGACGTCAACCAACTGTAGCTAATACCCCGGCTAATACCTCGAAGAGCTAAAGCAAGTTCTACAAGACGCTTTGAAAGAGCTTAATCGTGACCTAAATTCCTCTATTATTGACACGTACAAATAAAACTCTAAAGCCCTTTATAACGGTGTTTTGTTGGTAAAGCTCTTCAAACATATACGTGGGAAATCTTAACATCTACGCATGCGCACTTAAGTTAAGACACTGGTCAACAGGGGTCCCGAACTCACCCGAAAGTTTTGTCTTAGCATTTTCATTGCCTTAACAGCATGTTTTATCGTACCTTTTCACAATGGAATAACGTATTGGTTTTATAAACCGACATAAATGAAAATTCAATGAAAAGAACCATAATTTAGCTTAGAATACAATGGAATCAGAACCATTCACCCCTCCACTGTCAAAATGTGAACTCTTCCAAAAAAGCAGACGATGAAAGTTGTATAAACCACAGACGGCAAAATGAACAACATTCCTAGATATTCTGTCAAGAGGCGCGGCATTAAACCCTGAACATATGATAAGTTTTACAGCGTTCTTAATCGCAGCGAAGTGCTGAAATATTTTGGATCAAATCCAAAAGTCAATTTAACTAGTGCATAGGGGCTGTACATACATTTGCGCATAATCAACTTATGTCTATAATTCAATTGTATTGTTTACAATGACGTAATACTGATTTGATTCTAATTAATGATTAATAGATTAATAAATAGCAAATTTCACAGACTACTCAATGCTTATTTAGATTCCGAGATAAGACCAAGGAAGAAATGTTGATTCTATATCAACTGACAAACTGAAAAACCAATCATGTCGTAAGATAGCGTTATGGATCAAGATGACCATTTAATAGGACACTGACGGATAGTGGATTCCAGAATCCATCTCACAATTTTAATATATTTTGAATGAACAAAGTGATCAATTTAAACAAGGTTTTTGGACATGTAATAGTGTAACATGTGAAAATGAAATGAACAGACTTTTTGCTTACTTTGTTGAAGTTGACTTATTCACACGACGACTTTAAGCGACATCTATCATTGAGTAGCATAGCTGATTGATATGAACTCTACTTTCCTTGACAATAGATGGTGTAACCATATACTGAGATCAATTTATCTTTTACATTTCTGCTGAAATTCTCCATCAAGGTCTAGTCAGCAATTTCTTGTGCTTGGACCTACTGTGACACTCTGCTTTTCATTTTGAAATGCATGCCTCATTTTGAGAGTTTTCAATCCAGATTTGCCTATGATGACCTACTATTACCTGATTTCCTATTACCTACCTATTACCTAATTTCCAAGCCTAATATTATCGTAAGGGTTACCCGATGTAGACATTAGGGAGGTTAAGATACACTTTTTAAAACGTGTACGCGTAGTATAGCCCTCTATCCGGGATAAGTTCTCCCATTTGTAGTGTTTACTTGGCCGATTGAGTAAAAAGGCACATGGGAAATAATTGTAATAAGGTCCCTGGAAAAATAAATAGAGGGGGGGGAGAGTTATTCCTGCGGGTCCAAATACGACACGCTGACGTACATGGTCCTTAAAATGTGTAACGTAACCTCCCTAATCCCTTCCCTCACACTAGTCATTGATCACGTTGAACACCCATCAGAAATACCATAAACTACATTCAATGGGATCCATCTGTTCAAAATTTTCTAATTATGAATTATGACTAATTCATGCAGTTTATAAGATGCTTCCAAAGACGCTCCCTTTGGATAGTTTGATATTGTTCCTTTAAAAGTGATTTTCATCAACATATACAATATATTCATAGTACAGAACCCCCTACGTGCTGCTTGCTACCTTGTAATCCTGCCAAACAGGTAATCTACACAAACAGCTGGCCATGAGCACAGAGCTCTATCTTACAGGCAAATATCTTTGCAAATATGCACTTCCTCCCTGCCATGTACATTGCAACGCAGAATTCGAGCCCTTAAATAGTTTTTGGAGTAACTACTTGCAATAACAAATTTGAATTATAGATCATCGACAAATTCATAAAAGTTATCTATGATGAAATATTTCAAGGATTGCATATTTCAAAGCAAACGAGTTCTGAATCTTGTAGACTTTCTGATTTTGGAAGGAAGGCGCTATTTCAGTGTTTCCATGCTTATGCATCTAATTAGGTATTTTGCTAAACGAATAATTAATCAGGCGTCTCAAGTTTCCACATTTTTGCTATTTCTGGCAATACAACCGACTTAAACTCACTCTTAACCTCTCTACATGTCTGAGTTCAGCTCTACCTCGTCAGATAAACATCTTCTAAGGCCAAACTAGTTAACTGTCTGTTTATTGGGATCATTTTTAAAAGTCGGAAAAGGCAACCAGGCGTTTTGATTTTACCCCACTGTAGTTTATTGTATGTTATAAGTCCCAAAATCTCGAGAGAGGTTATAATGTTTGATACAACTGTCTAGATGGCCACGTAGATATAGATTATGTGAAACTTAATTTCCAAATCTTGTACCCTAACTAATTATCATTTTATTTCAAAATATTTTGATTTCGATGAAACAATTAAGATTGAAAATTTTTATGTGGTTTAGTTTAAAAAAAAACTTAATTATATAAGAAGTGTTTGTTTATTCATTCAATTCTTTATCCGTATTTTGTTCCATAGAGTATAGAATTCTGACTAGATATTGCCCAAAAACGAAAATAAAATTTGTAATAATAACTGTAATTTGGCTTTCATTTAGAAAATTCTAATTCACACAGTGCAGCTTTTTTCATCGTGGACTCTGACTGACACATTGGAATTAACACAAACACAAGGTTACCATGCTTGAGAGGAAAAATAAATCAACTGTAAAGATAATTTGCATTGTGTTTACCTTTACTAACTCCTTTACTAACAGGTTCCTGATGGAAAACTCAAACTCGAGGGGAAAATCCAATTGATCGCTATTATTCTAACATTTGCGCAAAAATGTTACAAGTTGCCCAAAAATGTAACAATTTGCGCAAAAATGTAATAATTTGCGCAAGGAGATGGTTAATTTCCAATTTGATCGCAATGGAACACTCTAATATTTCTATTAGAACTAAATAACTCTACCATTTTGAACGTTTACAAGTTCAGCAAAGCAACTTTGACCTCATTAAGACTCGGAATACCAACAGTTAACAACTTAGTGATACTAAAGATGAATTATTGGAGAATCATTGTGCAGTTTGTTAGCCTGAGAATAGTACAAGATTTTAGGTTACCTTGATGTAAGCATATGTTGGCGTTACCATGGTTACCACTGTTTTCATCTGTTTTAAGGATAATCTATTGGAGAACAGGTAACCTGTAAATAGGCCATCATTCGACACTTTGAACCCCAGTGGTTTCCCAACTGTGCCGTAACAATTACATGATTATGAAGCTATATTCAAAAAACTGTAACCATTTGCGCAAAAATGTAACAATTTGCGCAAAAATACTGGATATGGTTAATTTCAAAATTTGAATATTTTTGTTTTTCTATTATATCAGATCCAACCAAAATGATCTCATACTTTCTGTTTCACCCGAAACATCTCAGGGCTGAGAAGAAATGAGATGTCATGGTTTATCATGATGCAATGATCTTAACAATTTTCTATGAGTACAATTGCAGTCAGACCAGCATCGGATAAAGCAGATGAAGCTCGCTTTTGAAGGAGTAAGATCAAACTTAATGAAATGATAACTGTAACCTAGATTCACCCCACCACCCCTTCATTCAATTTGTACCATTTTGCAAAATGCACCGGCAGACACTGTTATCTAAAAGTACATCCCTTTACAACAGGAGTATTTTCAATCAGACTTTTTAAATATATAGATGGGATACTGGTAAAGTACAGGGGATCGCATTCTCCTTATGCATAAGTCAATCCCTATGTCATAATCCCATACAGACCTCTGCGAGGAGAAGCTACTCGACGCAGGTAAGAAGATAGTGTTTCAGACTTGGTGCTATATATAGATGACGAGATGCGGAAGATGAAAGGCGAATATGTGTTATTATCATAAGCAATGTACAAGAAGATATATATGCAGAACATTGCCATATGTTACCCTTAGTGTTAAAGTCTTGTACATTATACAGATGAAGCTCCCTTTTGAAGAAGTTAAATCCAACTATTAAAAGGGTAGCCATATGTTTCGGGTATCAATAATATTTTATTCACGAAGCAAAACTCTCAAGTAGACGGAAACATACCATACATTGGATGATTTATAGGGCATTGACAAAAACAGAACAAAGGGGGTTATAGTCAAATGAAATCGACTCCATCTCTCTTGCTAATGTACGAAGAGTCTCGTATAACAAGAATGTGATTTCTTAAAAAGGGTAACTGAATCTAAAGTACATGAAAAGAGAAACCCCATTCCATAGAAATGAATCTATTTCTGTTTCGCCCATTTGAGCTATTCAGTCCATCCACGTGCTTTTAGCCTTTCTAATATTTTGCTTTGGCTTCTTGCATTGATGTAGGTATAATGACTGGACCCTGTTCCCTTATTTTACCAACTACTGACAAGATACAATTACAAATATTAACTCAAAGTAGTCCTTTAGATATTTTAAAAAACATTAGACACTAAATTAAATTCGACTTTCAACGAGTAACTTTACTTTCAAAATTTGGGCCCAAATCTTGATTTTAAGGGCCCAAATTTTTTTCCTGACACAAAATTTAATTTAATGAGATTTACATAATTTTCTCTTATTATTAATACAAAATGACATTTTTGGCACTTCACACCATAAACACATTCCGAACAACATTTGTACCTGAACCTTTTCACAGCAGGATTATATTTTTGGATTACCTATTAAAAAGCGAAAATAACATCGCATGCTCAAAAGTAAAATAAGTCAGCAAAACCCTATTTCGCATTGTGGTTATCTCTAGTTAAAAGGAGGATATACCCAGAATTCCAAGCTCCAGCAAGATAGGTTCATCTTATCTATAAATTCTAGGTTATTCCGCCCTCTTTCTGAGGTGAAAACAACAGGAGATAACGGATAAACTGTATGCATGGTATGAGAATTACAGAAGTTTCATACATAGTTCTTAACTGATACAGAATCCATTGTCGGTTGATCCGCTTCTACAAAATCTCAGCAGAATTAGATAGACACTGGTGAACCAGATACACAGAAGTTTTTGTTAAAGTTTGTTTTAGCATAAACAAAATCACGTGT